ATCAACTGTGTTATAGGCTGTCTGATGACATTTTGAAGTAGAAAAAGTAAATTGCCTTTTTTATTGTACCCTTTGCCAGACATTTTCCTACTTTGACTCAAGGCAAACCATTCAATTGAGATGATTCAGTTCATTTATTACTGCAGAGCTTATTGAGTAATATTTGTAATTCAGTCATAATTTGGAATACATCATAACTCTTCTTCTCAGCCCCCTCAAAGAAGGGGAATGCAATTTATGGGTGCTGAGTTTGAAATTTATGATAATAGAAATAGTAATAGACATCTTTCAGAAATTTATATTTTCACTAGTATATATTTCTTAAACTTGTTCTGGTGTTCTATTTAAAAGGCAGATCTTAGATTCAGTGAACTATTTCATTCATGTATAAGCTTAATAAGTTCATCATTCATGTAACTGTTGGAAGGTAGGGTGCAAAACAGGAGTACCTCACCTTGGAGGTCCTTTATATTTAGATTTTTAACATATATGTAAGATTTCACTAGCCCCTATTAAAATTGCTAAGAACTGAGTCTCTAATGAGCTTCCCTGGTAGACAGCATTTCACAAGTGTTGTGATATTTTGTTGTTAGAGGAATTAAGGGTGACTCCATCAGGAGACAAGGACTCTTGGAAGCTCACATCTAGACTCCTCTGAACTTTGCTCCATGCACCTTTCTCTTTTCCCTTTATGCTTTTTATCCTTTCACTGTATATATAAATCATAGCCATGAACATGCCTGTATGCTAAGTCCTGTAGGTCTTCCCAATGAATCGTGAAATCTGGAGATTGTCTGGAAAACTCCCAGCCAGGCTTTCCTCTTATAATTTAACTTCAGTGACCTGGAATAGGTATTTTATATAATAATTAAATACATTGTCAGCCTTAAGTTGGAAGTTTACATAGTGTAAGAAAAATGAGAAAGAAAGCCACGTCTTTGTTGCAGTGATTCTGTTAACTCTCTATAACCTGCTCTTTTTCAACTTTGATTTCTGGATCGTGTCCATGCACTTACTCATGTATATAGTTCTGGTCATCTGGGCTTCCCAGGTGGCACTAGTGGTAATGAACCCACCTGCCAATGCAGGAGACTCAAGAGACGCAGATTCAATCCCTGAATCAGGTCTGGGAGATCCCCTGGAATAGGAAATGGCAATCTGCTCTAGTATTCTTGCCTGGAAAATACCATGGACAGAGGAACCTGATGGGCTATAGTCCATTGGGTCAGAAAGAGTCAGACGCAGCTTAGCACCTGAACAAGAACATTTTAGAGGTGTTTCATTATGCTGTGTGCTCAGTCATGTCCAACTCTTTGCGATCCCATGGACCAGTAACCCGCCGGGCTCCTCTGTCCTTGGGATATTCCAGGCAAGAACACTGGAGTGGGTTGCCATTTCCTCCTCCAGGGGATCTTACCGACCCAGGGCTTGAGCCCATATCTCCTGCATTGGAAGGCAGATTCTTTACCACTGGGCCTTCCGGGAAGCCCTTTTAGAGAAATAGAAGTTAGTATTTTTTAAACTCATTTGAACTTTTTAATTAGATGTTCCATTTTCATTATTATTTCTGATTACCACAGGAAATTCTTTTCCTGTTTATTCATACCCAGAATCTGTCTACTCACATTGTTACAACCAAGTATGTTAAACGCAGTTTTATAGCTCCTTACGGGACTTCCCTGATGGTTCTTTGGCTTAGACTCTGAGCTCCCAATGCAGAGGGCATGAGTTTGATCCATGGTCAGGGAGATGGATTCCTGATTGGAATAGACCCTGATGCTGGGAAGGTTTGAAGCAACAGGAGAAGGGGGCAGCAGAGGATGAGATGGTTAGATCGCATCACCAGTTCAATCAACATGAATTTAAACAAACTCTGGGAGACAGTGAAGGACAGGGAAACTTGGCATGATGCAGTCCATGGAGTTGCAAAGAATCAGACATGAGTTAGCGACTGAACAACAACAACATAACACCCTAAACAACAGCAACATAACACTGTTTGGACAGGAAGAGGGTAGATTAAATATTGTGGTAATAGGATTCAGTAGGATGTTTGGCAACTCTGCCTTTAATCAGCTATGTGATATTGGGCAGGAATATTTTTTAATTATTAAATTGACATCATCTTGTTTTGTACTTTGAATGGTAATATCATTGACTTTTTTTCTTCTTTTATCTTTGTAGATATTAGGACACTATTTTCCCATTTCAGTGTGACTACCTTGGAAACATTTTGTCCATGACATTTCTGTTAGAAGTTGATAGAACATTTCCATCAGTCCAAGCTGGATTGATGTAAATGAATCAATAACATTGATATGAGAATGTGGTGTGATAAGACTAAAAGGATCCCAAAAGTACATATGCCATCTTTAGAAATTCAAACTGAAAATTTTACAGCACAGTTGTCCCTCCGGACCTTCAGGGGATTGATTCCAGGAGCCCTGCCATATAGCAAGATCCACCAGTGCTCAAGTCCCTTATATAAAATGGCATTGTTGTTCAGTTGCTCAGTAGTGTCTGAGTTTTTCCCACCCCATGCACTGCAGCATGCCAGACCTCCCTGTACTTCACCATCTTCTGGAGCTTGCTCAAACTTATATCCATTGAATTGGTGATGCCATCCAACCATCTCATCCTTTGTCATCCCCTTCTCCTCCTGTCTTCAATCTTTCCCAGCATCAGGGTTTTTTCCAATGAGTCAGTTCTTCACATCAGATGGCCAAAGTATTGGAGTTTCAACCTCAGCATCAGTCCTTCCAATGAATATTCACAATTGATTTCTTTTACAATTGACTGGTTTGATCTCCTTGCAGTCCAAGGGATTCTCAAGAGTCTTCTCCATCACCTCAGTTCAAAAGCATCAGTTCTTCGGCATTCAGCCTTTTTATGGTCCAACTCTCACATCCATACATGACTACTAGAAAAACCATAGTTTTGATTATATGGCGTAAGGCGTAGTACAGTGAATACTATGGTCCCTCTCTAGCCAAGGATTCAAAATCTGAGATTATGGAGGGAAGACTCTATATTTATTAAAAAATATAAGTACACCTATGCATTTCAAACCTGTGTTGTTCAAGGGTCCCTAAACAGATAAACAAAACAGTAGTGCATGTCAGATCAGGCCCAGGGACAGTTTGTGATCTCTGGTTTACATATTCATATCTTCATAAATCTGCCCAAGAAATTTCCTATTTAAGCAGATTTTGTTCCTACTCTGAGGTATTTTGAGCTGAAAGTAGCTTTCAGTTTACCTTTCAGAAGTAAAATATACATTATTAATCAAATGGACTAGTTAGGAAAGTCTGTCCTTTTCAAAACATTGTTAAGGATGAGTTATCAATATGCAAATTTATTCAAGACTTTTTTCTGAAATTCTCATGGAGCAAACTTGTTAAAAAAGAGTATAGATGTATATACTTCCTTTCAATTTTTGCAGTGAACTCAAAACTACTCCCTTGTGGCTTAGCCTATAAAGAATCCGTCTGCAATGTGGGAGACCTGGGTTCAATCCCTGGATTGGGAAGATTCCCTGGAGAAGGGAAAGGCTATCCACTCCAGTATTCTGGCCTGAAGAATTCCATGGGCTGTATAGTCCATGGGGTCACAAAGAATCCGACACGATTGAGTGACTTTCACTCCCAAAACTGCTCTGAAAGAAAAAGGTTGTTGATTAAAAAGTCAAAAATATAGATATTAGAAATTTCTATGTAAAATAGAGCAGTTTTGATCTGTTCATTTCTTTTTGTTAAACAGAAATGGTTTTTTAAGCCTTAAATGAATATTTGTTCTACCTTCACTATGGCTTGGCCAAACAATCTAGAATTTCCTGGCCCTCTTTCATATCAATTGGATTGTTTGGATTTCTGGTTTGTTTTGTTTTTTTTCCTCTTTTTAACTTTGAGTAAGTTTTCAAAATTCAAAGTAACTTATCTAAAGCAGTTAATTACCAACAATATTCATTTTACTGCAGAGTTTAGATTTACAATTCTGGAGTTGATTGTGATGACTTAATCTCCACTTAGGTCAGATTGCTCTTTAATATATGGAAGGTTAAAAAAAATACATAAATTTCAAGTGGGTTAAGGAATTGTGTACAGTCTTACTGCTTTGTCATTAAGCTAAATGAGGTATTAAAGTCTTAAAACCATAGTTATAATGAGATAGAGAACTCAACCATAACTGTATGACTAAAAAAAATACTAATTGATGATGCCCTCTTTTCAATTGTCCGAAATAGACTTATTTCATGTGGCGTTTTTAATTGAGTTATAACTGTTCTTTGTTTTTCTTTTTGTTTTTATGGGTATAAGACTCTTTAACTTGTAGAACTTTTTACTTTATTAAACATCTATTCCCTAGTAATTAGGTCTCTTTCTTTTACCGTCACAAAGCAAGTCTAGTAAGTGTAGTAGTGCTTATCATAAGGTTGATTTCAGGAGTCTTTTTTTCTTTTAATTTTTATTCTAAACTATATCTGTTTGAAACTGTAGAATAAGGAAATATTTTAAACAAACACTGAAGGCTGAAGGTAGTTTTCTACCGATAATGAAATTATGTTTTCTAAAAGAAGAATATAAGTAACTGTGGTTATTTTACATGAAAAATTTTGATGAAAATTCAGAAATAAGTAATAGAAGTTTTTTGGTAACCACTACTATGTACTAATCACTGTGTGCTTGCTAAGGCTAAAGCACTGAACAAGACAGTGCTCCTGCACTTTGGACCAGACTGGTCCATTTTTTTCTTAGTGTTTCTCAGACATTGAGTGATTTTTTAGTTAAAGAAATTTAACAGATTTTCCTTTTAGGATGAATTTCATCAAACAAAGGATGTAAATATTAGTAGCTTTCTGGTGTTTATATGGTATATTTCTTTGAACATCATGATTCCTAAGATAGAAATTTTTATTTTAATAATTATTCTTAGCAAAGGATAAATAACAAGGAAAATGCTCTATACATTATGCCTAAATATGTATTTATCTGTTATTTTAGCTGGGAAGTTTTAAGATTTCTTCTGTCAAACATAAGGTGGTGGTTGGAAGAGTATGGCTTTGATGGATTTCGTTTTGACGGGGTTACATCAATGCTCTATCATCACCATGGAATAGGTAGGTAACCTGATACATTCCAGATGTAACTAATGATTTTATTTTATATTTTTACTGGAAGATTACAACTAGGCTTAGGATTCAGTTACATTGCTACAGTGACCATTATTATTGGCTTGATTTTTATTAGTTCTTTTATGTATCTAATCATGTCTGATCCCTTTTTGGCAGGAAGTCAGGTATAAATAGTTTTTATAAAGTATTTTTAAACTTTTTATAAAGGGTATTGATTATCTTTGAAATATTTCTACTTAATAATAATATGCTCTCCTTAATGTGTGGCATTCTTCTAAAAAAATTTTTTTAAGGATATAATTTATTATACCAGTCTCAGGCTGTGAAAATGACAGCAATTGTAATGAAAAATAAATAACAAAATTAATAAATGAGAACATTTGTTAATGTATGGGTTCCTTTGCATATTAAACATTGAAGATAATGTATACATTTTAAATATAAATGTGCTCAGTTAAAATTAAATTGTAAATTAATTTGTAATTAAAACTATGGATCAGAGACTTTCAGTTTAAAAGTTGTACAAATAAGTGGACTCACAGAATCCTAATCCTTCAATAGGTAACATGTAGAAATATTATTGTTTTTTTAATGACCAAATATTTAGCAACCTTATTCATAACTAATACCTGGAAACAAGCCAGGCATGCTTTAATAGATGAATGGTTAAAAAATGTGGTATATCTATAGCATGAAATGCTACTTAGCAATAAACAGTAACAATATTAATACATATAACAATTTGGATTAATTTCAGAGGATTATGCTGACAGAGAAAAAAGCATTTCAAAAGAGGACATACATATAATATGATCACTTTTATGTATCATGCTTGTAGTGGCAAAGTAAACAGAACAAGGCAGTGGTCTCAAGGGTTAAGGTCCATGGTGCAAAGGCAGGAGGAAGGCAGATCTCATTAGAAAAGGATGTCAGGTGAGCCACCTGTGACGTAATTTTATATCCTGACTGTATAACGCCAGGACCTTGGCTGGGACATTACACCATGGCTTTTCACATGTTCCCATTGAAAATGCCATTACACCATGGCGTTTCAAATGTTGAGAAAACAAGTAAAGTCTACATAGGATCACTGTGTGTTATTTCATATAACTGTGGCTTCCCAGGTGGCTTGGTGGTAAAGAATACACCTGCCAATACGAGTACCATCTCTGTGTTGGGAAGATCCCCTGGAGGAGGAAATAGCAACCCGCTCCAGTATCCTTACCTGGAACATCCCATGGACAGAGGAGCCTGGTGGGCTACAGCCCATGTGTTTGCAGAGTCAAATGCACTGAGCAAGCACACACACACAATCTACAGTTATCTCAAAATCAAAAGTTTAATTAAATCTTTTAAAAATCCTCTTTATATGAGAACAAAGTGACTCAAAGTAAGTATATGAAAATGTTATTTAGTGTAACATAAGTATATGAAAGTATATAGCATAAGAATATGAAAAGTTATTTAACTATTATCTCACTTAACCCTGTAAACTGCCTTCAGAAGGACTCTTGGGTGGTATAAAAATAACTGCTTGTGTAGATACCTCATTTTATTTTCTTCTGCATTAAAACTTTGTTGTAGGAAATACATTGTTTTTATAGCATTTACTCAAATATTTTTTACAACCTTCTGAAGTGTGGTAGGCCTTGTCTGTTTGGCTAAACCCTCCAAAAAACAGTGACATATGTTTTTAAGTAAAAATATGTATCTATGTTCACCTGGAGGCTTCCCAGGTGGCTCAGGGTAGAGAATCAGCCTGCCAAACAAGAGACTTGGATTCAATCCATGGATTGGGAATATGCCCTGGAGAAGGAAATGCCAACCCACTCTTGCCTGGGAAATCCCATGGACTGAGGAGTTGGCAGGCACCAGTCCATGGGTCACAAAGAGTCTGACATGACTTAGTGACTAAACAGTAACAACAATTTACTGACAACAATCAATCCATGATAGAGACTTTAGAAATCAAAATGTAACTGCCAAGAAAAGCTGCTACAGTCAGAGTCTGCTGTTATCTGGTCTTATTCCTGGTGCTACCTACCCCCTGCCCATGAAACAATTCTAGGGAGCAAGTTGAATCTATAAAACATGACAAATTTCACTGATACCCTCCACTTTGGAGAGAAGCTGACTTTGGAGATGAAAAAGGCAATCATGATAAAATTTAAGAAAGAGCTTCTCCTAGATTAAAGCACCTACATGCCTGTGCCTTCAGAACCTTCCTCTGCTGAGGGCTAGGTGTTTTCCAAAGAATTGTGGAGTTGGGGAAATGAACTGAAGTCTATGGATATGGTATATGCTTCTTATGGGTAGAGAGCTCAAAAAATGGAAAGAAAAACATTGAGTTATTTAGCATGTTTCCCAACTTTGAGATGAAGATGAAAATAAAAATTGAAACTGCAAAAAATTATATAATATACCAGAAGAAATCTGAGATGACACTATTAACATAGACACAGAGTGTTTAATTTATAAAATTCTATAATAAGGAAAAATTCAAGTAATATCTCAAAGAAAAAGTAATTTACCTGCATGAATGAAAAAAAAAAAATGGCTGAGCTCATACTATTCCATTGCCACAGCAGTGTCTGCAAAATTCTTTTTTTTTTTTTTTTTTTTGTCTGCGAAATTCTTAAGGATAGAAACTGTGACTTGAGAATTGGATATTTGAATTTCCATTGAAGGATACATTTGAAAGAAATTGTTGAATCCACGTAAAAATATCCTTCAGTGATAGAATTGAGCAAACTGAAAAAAAAGGAGTCAAAATAAAGAACTTATGTATAAGAAATCAGCGGGGGGAAAAGGCAGGCATTCAGCACTAATTAGACTTAATTAAAAATAATCATAAACAGCTGAAAGAATAGCAAGTTAATAGTATAATACCAGTAAGTGAAATATACTATAAGCAATCAAAATCAGGTGACAGGGCAAGGGATGGTAGAAAGAAGTTGAGGGATATTAAACTGTTTTTGTCATCATAGGAAATCCATAAATTCTAGCCATATTTAAAATAATATAAACATTATTTCTCAATTTTATGATGGTTTTCCTATTTGCTTGCCTTCAGAGGGATCAAATAGGAGCTATCTAACATTAAGATCTCAGTGTGACCAAAAAAGTTATCTAAAATTTAAAATTTATAAATTGCTGGTATTTTATTCTGTGCTGGACAATTCAGTTCAAATTAACTTAAAATTTTAAATCATACAGATTTTGTTTGCTTTTGTAAAACAAAAGTTGAGTTGCAGGATCGTCTGAACTTTGAATGTAGTCATCTGCTACTTTTTAAGTTAGATCATATAGTTACTAATAGCATTATGTGGTATCAAGGTCTATTAGTCTTTGCTCTGATAACAAAACTGATATAAACCAACTAATTGGGGGGGGGTGGCATTTGTGCAGAGTTAAGAATTGCGTGCTAACATAATGCATCCATATTGATTTTTTGTTTTCCAGGTGAGACTTTTTCAGGTGATTACCATGAGTATTTTGGACTACAAGTAGATGAAGATGCTTTGACTTACATCATGTTGGCAAATCATTTGGTTCACACACTGTATCCAGATTCTATAACAATAGCTGAGGTAATAATGATCTCTACCCCCGACCCCCTTTAATATAGAACATTTTGTTGGCATACCATATTTGAATAATCTCTATGTTGTCGATGATTGCTTAAATGAAATTACACCCTGACTATAGTGCAGCTACCGTGTCTATGTGGCACATTATTCAGAATTCACTGTTTTCCTATTATGAGATAATGTTCCCTAATTACTTGTCATTATTCCATTGTTAAAAAAGAAAATGCCAGTCGTTAGAAAGTAAAATATCCTAATCAGTGGACAGGTCCTTTTGCCATGAGACCTTCAGCACAGAAAAGAATTGAATATTAATATGTGTCTGTCTATTTAATTTTTTTTTTCTTTTCTGGTTTAATCATCAGAGATGGCATGGTTCACTGCCTGCAAGCTTCTCTGAAACCTCTCTTGTTCTGATGCGATTACCTTTCTTGTTTACGTTATTGCTCTCGGATTGCCAAATGTTCACTAGTTATTCATGATTACTGAAGGTTCATGATTAACTGTCCCAAAGCTGCACTGTAATGATATAATTCGGTATATGCATAATTGACAATTCCCCTCTTGGTGATAAATTTGATAAATTAAGAAGTTTGTTAAATGCTTATGCTAATTTAGATTTAGTACTAAAATCCCTCTGGTTTTGTGAGTCCTCTAACTAGGAATTATTATTAAAATTGAGTTTCATGTTAAAACTGTTCTATATAAAATGTAGAGGTTGACATATAAAAATAGTAAGACTATCATTGAAAGAGTCAGAGTTAAGAAGTATTTTCATGTTGTTGGCATTTAGTTTATTGAAATGTACTCATGATGATCTCTTTCCTATAGTATTTATTATTTGTATAGTCTTTTTTCTATGCATCATTTCTCAAAACTCAAAATCTCAAACTAGTGATATGATTTCCTTGTTTATCTCTGGATTGAGAACAGCTACTCTATTTAGGTCTTTGCCTTCTAAATATCTTCTAGGATAGAGCAATGAATCCTAAATTCCTGGAGTAAATTTTCATATAAAATTTTTTTAAAAAATCCACAATTACAATGTCATCTTGATATCCTGTATTGTTTTACAGTCTCTTCTTACCTGTATTTGGTCATAACTTATAAGTCTTTCTAATGCTTGTGCTAATACTTTCTGTGCGGAATATTTTTAATGTACATCAGAAGATATTTTAAACTTTTATTGTATACTTTATATATTTTAATTTTTATCTGTCAAACATAAAAAGTTATTTAGTTATTTATAAAATAACTATTTATAAAGTTAATTATATTTATGGCAATTTGAAGCAGAGACATTATGTATGACAAATTACTGCAAACAATTAATGACAGCACGCATCAGAAGTAGGTACTGAAGAAAAAGAAGCAATTATTTAATACATGAAACTGAAAATTGTTACATTGATCTTTCCGTTCATTTCAAGTAAAATAGTTTCATCATCTAGGGAGCTTTTGTCTGATTATTAGTGTTTCTACCAATGAAACTTTGAGACTTTAGCCTACTTTATATTACTTGGTTTTAGATTTTTTTTAAACAAGATGTGTCTTCAATTTATTCTACTTAAATTGAAAACTACTTCAATTTCAATACATCACTTTTCTGTCTAGTGGGAGTCTATTCAAGAAGTGGAATTGATCCTCATGAACTTTTTTTTTAAGAGAGGAATGTGGTGTAACGAATAAGTAATGCAATGTTATATACAGTCCTGTGTATTGAATTTAGTTATAATGATAGTTATTAAAATTGAAGCCTTTTTGCTGGAATATATCTACCTTTATAAGTGGTTATATTTGCTGTATTAATGAAAAATATTTTTTGATGACTGAGGCTCTCTCCCCCTCTGGAATTGTCATAAGTGACCTTTAAATTAAAGAATTAAAGCTGTTTTATAAGTTTATAAAGTTTTTTTATAAGTTTATAAAATTCCAGCTTCATTGGATGCATATATGACCATTTGAATATCCTTTTGTTATCAACTTCTTTATATTTAAGTATATTTATTTTCATGACCATTACATTTTCTCATTTTCTTCTTTTAAGATTTTAAAAGAATAGTTCTTTACTCTCCACTTTCAAATAAGAGCTACAAATACCTCAGATGCATTAATGGGGCAGCCTTCTAGGAGTCAGATTTGGAGTTAAGTCTTATGGTCTCCAGATATTTTTCTTAGTAGATTCTATTTCTTATCAAGCTATTTTCTGAAACTACCTATAGACCAAATATAGAAAGCACCTTAATGTCTTCTTGAGAAAAAATTATCTTGATCTTTAATGCCATCTTATTACTTGTCTCATGAAAACTCTGGGTCTTATAAAAACTTTTCCAGGAAGGTACTATGTATGTATTTCCAGTGTCTAACACAGTTGCCTGATACTTAACACATATGTAGCCAGCACTAATAAAGAGTTGAACTGAATACCTATCATAACTGTGAAAATGTGACATAAAATGATTTCTTATCTGTTAACCATTCATCCTTTGTCACTTTTTTGGCTCATCTTTTTTCACTTTTATAAACTTATAAAAAAATATGTAGAATAATATGTTATTGATGAATATTCTCTTGTGGATATATTCTACCATGTACTATATCTTGTTGTACCTCTCTTCCATTAGAAAACAATGAACACATTATTTTGGAAGTCCAGAGAGGTCATATGTTTGATTTTTTTACAGCTTTTCTGTGGGAAGAGTTTGAGGATGGTATTGTGGAAGAAGAAGCAGTTAAGCCTCAGAGAGCTCAGAGTATATGATAGTCTTTCATAGGAAGTAAGGATAATGATCCAAGGGAGAATTTGGGTAATGACACTCACAGAAAAGCTGTCAGAAGCACAGGCAAGAGTAATTATTTCAAAGGGGATGATGTATTGAATATTTGAAATGAAACAGTAGAAATAATGATGGAGAGATGTAGGCTTTTCCCTCGCACTTGCTATGTACTTCTGTTAACAACTATGATGACTCCATAAAACTGTCATTTCATGATTGTGTGTGTTTGTGTGCATGCGTGTTTATTTAGGTTCTAGTTCTTGAATCCTGCAGGTCAAGTATTATGTCTTATTTACCATCAAAGCCTTGGCAGCCCCTTCATAAATCCACTAGTTACTGAGTTCTTGCTGTGTGCCAAGTACCCTTCTATTATTCTAGATTCTTGGCATCTGTCAGTGAGCAACAACAGCCACCACCACAACAAAAGTCCATGTGTGTTAAAGTCTAACAGTGAGTGAGGAAGCAGATAGTCAAATAATAAATTATACTGTCAGTGCTTGCAATATAATTGTTGAATTGTATCCTAAACTGCAGAATTTTAAGTTTTCCATTGTTGACTGTTGAAAGCTATTCGCAGGCAATGATAGGAGCAGACCTTTCAGCAGCAGGTAGTGTAAAGAGAGACTGGAGATGGGAGTTCCACTTATGTGTGGAAACATAGTGGTCAGAGTAAGTAGTTAGGTGGATTAAATAAGATAGTGTCTGTAGAAATGAGGCAAAAGAAAATAATTTATTTGAAAGATACTGTGGAGTTAGAATTGCTAGTACTTATACCATATTTTACCACCATTGTTACACTAATATATTTTGTTGCATCTGGGTCCTTACATCATTTTCTTTTTACTTATCTGTTTGACCATATGTTTATGTGATTACCGATAGTCTAGCAGTAGCATGACTGTAAGAAGACCCTGTCAAAAGGTTGAATGTCTGAGTCCCAGCTCTATCCTTGAGAAACATGTCTTTAGTGAGCCCTTCACCTCAATAAGCCTCAATTTCTATATCTTTTAAATGAAGAGGATCCACTAGATAACCTCAATGACCCTTTCCAAGTGTAACTGACTCTCGTGAAGCCATCTTACTGCTTTGCTTTTAATGTGCTAACTCTATTTCTATTTCATCAGAAGCGAAGTGCTCACAAAATACATTCTCTGCCACTGCTGTATACACAGAGAAGAATAACAGATATACAGCCCATTTATTTTTATGTTTGATGAAAGCAGTAGCTAATACATAGAGTACTCAAAAATTAGTGTAAGAAACTATGTTTCAGCAATAACAATTTTACTAATTTGTGTTCTCTATGTGCAACTAAGGAAAAGAGATAAAAAGTTGTCCTGCAATGAAAAGGACTATACAAAATCTTATTGGGAAATGAGATATGCTATCACAATGTTATCTACTTTTACAATTATGCTACCAAAATACTCCCAAGAGTATATACCCCCATTTATTATTTGTATTTATTGGCCTGGATTTACTGTCACAAGAATATTTAGTAAAAATATGATCAATATGAACTGATAATGCTGATGCTCTTTATTTTAGGATGTATCAGGAATGCCAGCTCTGTGTTCTCCGATTTCCCAGGGAGGGGGTGGTTTTGACTATCGATTGGCCATGGCAATTCCAGATAAATGGATCCAGGTAAGGTTTAATGTAAATATTTTTCCCCCCTGTGGATACTATGTCTTATGTTGGTGTATTTATTATTTCTTTGATTTATTTCTTAGTTGTGATATTATAATCGAAGTATTAAATTCTCTCATTAATGTGTTGATTCTTGTGCCATTTAATAAGATGCCTCTCTAACTTCTAAAAGTTCTAATTTAAAGTATTCACACTTGCATTATGCAGGCATGGGGAAAATATGATTGATATAATGTTAGCTATGTAAATGGAATTTTGCATTATCAGTGCAATTATATGAAACTCTGACTTTCTATATTTAAAACACATTAAACTTCATCAAAGCATCCATTTCTGCCTGCAAATCATCAATTAATGTAGAAGTCACTCCTTAATTCCCAGTACTTGTTTCTTAGTATGGTTTTTTACTCAACAGATGTGGATTTATCCATTCCTTCATTGAGTATTTAAAAGCCCTCACCATGTGTCTGTTGCTAGAAATGAGTAATTGTATATGACACCTTGCATATAATTTCTAATATACTTTTATTAAATTTAATAACAATTCAAGTAGCTTAGATTATATTTTGTTTCACTTTATTTTTGTCTAAATGACCAAAGTTGTTATAGTCATAAGTGATCTTTAGATAAGATTATTTTTAGATAATCTAAAATAAGACTTAGATTTGATATAGAACACTCCTGAGTGGCAAAGTCTGGGTCACAGGCTGAATATTTATAAGAAGTCAGATATGTATCAAATAATCATTGCTTTCTGATAAGCCCTTTAGTACAGACATGAACTGGTGCCATGAGATTACAGTGACACAAGAGCTTAACTTTGAATAGAAAAACCATGAAGCCTACCCTGAAGGAAGTGGTTATTGTAATCATCTCATGTCTCTTCTGTGTCCACAGGCAATTTGGGCAGTGCACAGATGTGACAATAAAACTCTACCAGCACAACTTCTGCTTTTCCATCTGTAATGATTTCTTAATCATCGTCAGGTCAAAAAATGAGTGTTTTATAAATCTGATTAGAGTTAGAAATCAAAGAGACTTTACTAGCTGGGAGAAAGTTGCTTTGTAATTTAAAAAAAAAAATGTTGTAAAAAAAAAGAAGTTGTGATCTTCAAGTTTCTTACCTTGGTTTAGGTTCTTTGCCCGCCCACCATCTTTTACGATTTCTAATCTTCCACACAGATGTTTTCCCCCTTGCAAGTGCCAAATCTTGCTTTTTAAACATCCTACTGAAAAGCCTTCATCAGGCTTTTGGCAGATTCAAGGATATTTAAAGGTGTACATCAACCTAGAATTATTTCAATCAATCATAGCTCAGAGAAGCCTATTTCCTTCTCTGAGTAATAATGGCAGTTTTCTGTTTTTAATATTTAACTTACTAAACATTTCAGTACCTTGTATACTCAAAATACTGTACTAGACAGTACATCATACAAATGGAAGAAAAAAAAATGTATAGTTCTCCATTTAGATTTCTGTGGAGTTAAACAGGTGGTAAATTGGTAAAGAATTCATCTGCCATCACAGAAGACACCAGAGATACAGGTTCAATCCCTTGGTAAGGAAGACCCTTTAGAGAAGGAAGTGGCAACCTACTCCAGTATTCTTCCTGGGATAATCCCATGGACAGAGGAGCTTTACAGGATTCCATTCATGGGTTTGCAAGTGTCGGACACAGTTTAGCTAATAAACCACCACCATAACATTTTGCCAAGCTACAGTACAATATCACAATCAGGATAGTGACATGGACATAGTCAAGATATGGAACATTACCACGAGTTTCCCAAATGTTGCCTTTAGAGCCACACCTACTCCCTTCTTTCCCAAATCACTCCTCCTTTGGCCACTACTAATCTGATCTCCATTTCTATAATGTTTTCATTTCAAAAATGTTATATAAATGGAATAATGTACTATGCAACCTTTTGGGCTTATCATTTTTCACTCAGTCAAATTCTCTGGGGATTTCATGTAGGTTGTTGCATGTATCAATAGTATATTTCTTTTCAAGTTTTTTTTTTTTAATTTTTATTGGAGTATAGTTGATTAACAATGTAATGTGAGTTTCAGGTGTAGAGCGAAGTGAATCAGTTAAACATATACATATACCCACACCTTTCTTTTAAGAATCTTTTCCCATATAGGCCATTACAGATTTTTGAGTAGAATTTCTTGTGCTATATAGTATGTTCTTATCAATTATCTGTTATATATAAATGTGCTTAGTCATTTCAGTGGTGTCTGGCTCTTTGCAACCCTATGGACTGTAGCCTGTCAGCCTCCTCTGTGTGTGAGATTCTCCAGGCAAGAATACTGGAGTGGGGTCCTCAGGGGGATCTTCCTGAATCAGGGATTGAACCCATGTCTCCTGCATCTCCTGCATTGCACGTGGATTCTTTATCCACTGAGCCGTTTGGGAAGCCCCATTTTATATATAATAGTATGTATATGTCAATCTCAATCTCCCAGTTTATCCCTCCCCCTCTTCACCTGCTGGAAACCATAAGTTTGTTTTCTACATATGTGATGCTACTTCACTGTTTCCCTTTTTTTCTGTTGAATTCTATCTCATGGCCTCATTGTATCACAGTTTGTTTAATTATTTTTCCAGTAAAAGATATCTCAACTGTTTCTAGGTTTTAGCTGCTATAAAGAGAGCTGCTATAAACCTTTGTGTTCAGATTTTTGTATGAACGTAAATTTTCATTACTCTATGGTAAACGTCCAAAAGCACTGGGTTTTATACTCTTTGGATGTTGTTGTCGTTGTTGTTCAGTCACTAAGTTGTGTCCAAATCTGCAACTCCATGGACTTCAACACGCCAAGGCTTCCCTGGCCTTCACTCTCTCCCGGAGTTTGCTCAAGCTCATGTCCATTGAGTCAGTGATGCCATCCAACCATCTCATCCTTCATCGTCGCCTCTTCTCCTCTTGCCTTCAATCTAACATCAGAGTCTTTTCCAGTGAGTCAGCTCTTCGCATCAGGTGGCCTAAGTGTTGGAGCTTCAGTTTCAGTATCAGCCATTCCAATGAGCATTCAGGGTTGATTTCCTATAGGACTGACTGACTCGATTTCCTTGCTGTCCAAGGGACTCTCAAGAGTCTTCTCCAACACCACATTTTGAAAGTATCAGCTCTTCAGCACTCAGCCTTCTCTATCGTCCAACTCTCACATTAGTAAATGGACTACTGGAAAAAACCATAGCTTTGACCATACAGCCCTTTGTCTGCAAAGTGATATCTCTGCTTTTTTATATGCTGTCTAGGTTTGTCATAGCTTTTCTTCCAAGAAGCATGTGTGTTTTAATTTCATAGCTGCAGCACTTTCAGCAGTGACTTTGGAGCCGAAGAAAATAAACTCTGTCACTGTTTCCACTTTTTCCTCATATATTTGCCATGAAGTGGTGGAACCAGATGCCATGATCTTAGTTTTTTGAATGTTGAGTTTTAAGCCAGCTTTTTCACTCTCCTCTTTCACTTTCATCAAGAGGCTCTTTAGCTCCTCTTTGCTTTCTGCCATTAAAGTGGTATCATCTGTACATCTGAGGTTGTTGATATTTCTCCCAGCAATCTTGATGCCAGCTTGTGCTTCCTACAGCCTGGCTTTTTGCATGATGTACTTTGCATAGATGTTAAATACGCAGGGTGACAATATACAGCCTTGACATACTCCTTTCCCAATTTGGAACCAGTCTGTTGTTCCATGTCTGGTTCTAACTGTTGCTCTTTGACCTGCATACAGATATCTCAGGAGGCAGGTCAGGTGGTCTGGTATTCCCATCTCTTGAAGAATTTTCCACAGTTTGTTGTGATCCGCATAGTCAGAGGCGTTCAAATTATTTTTCTGAGTAGTTGTACCATTTTGCATTACCACAAGCAACTTTGGAGACATCCAGTTTCTGTTCATTCTTGAACAATGCATTTGTTATTGTTGCTATTTTTTATATTGGTCATTCTATCAGATGTGCAGAGATATCTCGCTTTGGGTTTAATTTGCATTTTCTTAATGGCTTATGATGATGAACTTATTTTCTTGTGCTTATTTGCCGTCTATATATCTTCTTCAGTGAAATGTCTGTTCATGTCTTTTGACCATTTCCTAATTGGATCATTTATTTACTGTGGAGTTTTGAGAGGTCTCTGTATAGTTTAGATTCAACCCTTTTGTGGGGTGGTATGTGGTTGACAAATATATTTATACCAGTCTTTGCTTGTGATTTCATCCTCTACATGTGGACTTTGACAGAGATAAAGTTCTTCGTATTCTTTAAATTTAATGAAGGCCAGTTTATTTTTTTTGTTGTTGTTTGTTTGTTTTTTCCTTTTAGAGGTCTCTTTTGGTGACAAGTCTAAAAATTTTTTGATTCTCCTATTTTCTATTAAACATTTATTTTCTATTAAACATTTATAATTTTATGTTTAAGTTCTTAGTCCATTTGAGTTACTTTTTGTACAATCAGTGTTTAAGGTTTTTTTTGTCTAAAGACTTCTAACACTTCCAGCGTGATTTGTTGAAAAGTCTAACCTGCTTCCATTGAATTGTTTTAACACAACAGTCAAACTTAACTGGGCATATTTGTATAGGTTTGTGGATTGTGAATAGACATATACAAATACTACACTGAATCTAAATAATACAAAGTATCTTAAAATAACACAAATCTACTGTCGTATGGTCACAAATCTGAAATGATCTGCCTAGACTAAAAATCAAGGCTTTGGTAAGGCTGCACTTCTTCTGGAGGTTCTGTTTCTTTGACTTTTCTATCTTCTAAACCCCACTGTATTCCTTGGTTCATGAGTCCTCCCCCCATCTTCAAAGCCAGCAGGGTAGCATCTTTAAATCTGTCTTACTCTGACAACCCAAGTGTCTTTTAAGAAAGATCCCTGTAATTACATTGGGCCCATCCAGGTAATACAGAGAAGGGAAATGACAACCCACTCCAATACTCTTGCCTGGAGAATCCCGTGGACAGGGGAGCCTGGTGGGCTGCTGTCCATGGAGTCGCAAGAGTAGGACATGACTGAAGCAACCTTGCATTCATGCATGCATTGAAGAAGGAAATGGCAACCCACTCCAGTGTTCTTGCCTGGAGAATCCCAGGGACAGAGGAGCCTGGTGGGCTGCTGTCTATGGGGTCGCACAGAGTCGGACATGACTGATGCGATTTAGCAGCAGCAGCAGCATCCAGGTAATCCAGGATAATCTCCCCATCTCAATGTCCTTAACTTCAGCAGATCTCTGAAGTCCTGGCCATGTAAGGTGACATGTTCACAGACTCTGGGTATTGGGATGTGAACCTGTGCGTGGTCATTATTCTGCTTAATACAGTCTGCCCTCTGGTGCCCAGTGATTCACACTGCAGTTAGGGGGGATGGCTAAGCACCTCTGAATTCCATTGAGCAAAAAAAAAAAAAAAAATGCAAAGGAAGATACAACCAGACTGGAACTCTATTTCTTGTACCAAAATCTGCATTAATTTCCTATTGCTGTATAACCAACTACCACAAACTTAGCAATTTAAAACGTTTCTGTTATTATCTCACCCTTTCTTCTAAGGACATCTATTGTTCCCTCCCACCCTCCAGGTAAAGGATTGTACAAAGAGGTGAATCAGAGGGAGTGGGAATCACAGGAACCGTTTTAGAATTCTGCCTGTCAGAGTGCAGGTCAGAGAAATGAGCCCCCTTTAGAAAGATTGTGTTGAGTGAAAGAACAGGCTCTTTTTAGGCTGTTAATTCTGTGGAGCAGCAGCTTTTATGGGAGAGTCAGAGGAAGGGATTTTGCTGGATGTCTGAGTCGTGAGAAAACAAAACAAAGCTTTCCTTCTTTTCCTAAGAAGGAAAGCATTTCATGGGAAGTGGTGGGGACAGCATTCTTGTCTAGTACAGCAAGCGTTTGCCTAAGAAAGGATTTAGGACAGAATCATAATCTGAAATTTCTGCAAGTTCATTTGCACTGAAGAGGTTTTAGAGGTACAGAAGCCACACTGGAGGCTGAGTAACAGCCCAAGTGGAGACAAAAATGTGCGCACTGTTATCTCGGAGAGGCAGCAGTGAGAGGCGGCGGGAAGCGAGATCTTAATTCCCTGCCCAGGAATTGAACCTGGGTAGCCTGGATGAGAACCAAGAATCCTAGCCACCAGACCAGCCAGGGCTAGAAGCTGGAAGCTATTTTTCCCTGGATCTTTGACCTCAGTGAAAAATGCATTTGTCACGGAGGCAGAAACTGTAAATGCAGGTACTAAGTTTATTATTAGAGGCATAGCATAACAAGTGGGAAGGCACAGAGAGAAATGATTTGGTTAGTTAAGATAGAAGCAAAGCAGAAATGCAGTCAGAGAGAAGGGTGTGGTGAAGAGCAGTGAGGTAAGGAGGCCATGCCCTAACTCTTACCTTAAGGTGTTTACAAGAGACAGAGACTGGCTATTTGCCCTGTTTCTTTTTTTACTTCCATTTTGGAGGGCAAACAGGAGGCTGATTGTAAATGCTGTAACTGGAGCCCACCCATCTCTTATCTCAGGAAATACAAAGGGAAGGCTGGTTATGGGTATGCTGCGGGAAGCCCACTTCTTCCTGCCTCATGAAATGCAAAAGAAGGTCAGCTGTAGATGTCTAACCTGGAGCCCATCTATCTCCTGCCTCAGGATGATAATGATTTCATGATAATCAGCTTTTATACATTGAAGTAATAGTTGTTTTCGTTTCTTTTAAGAAAGTAACAAGACACTCTTCTTGCTAACTTTTTTTTTTTTTTATTCAAAGCTAAAATGGTAGCAAGTTTATCTCTACCTTGTGGAAGTTATTGAAAGATCTCCTGCACAACAACACTTTACTGTGGTCATTAATCAAGAAATAACAGCTGTTACAGAGAAAAAAAGGTTGCCAAAATCCTAAAGTGCAGTGATCAAATCATCTGCACAAAAGTGAACACATGCACACCCACACACACCACCACTGTCATTTGGATAGTCTGCACAAGAGCTGTGATTTCAGTAAAAGTGTCAACAAAGCTATTTTCGTTCCATGGGTGTGCTTGTATCTATGTATCATAATTTGGACTAATACGATATATACCCTAAGTTCAGGATATAAAGTGAGAATAGTAATGATGTATTGAAATTATTTCCTGTCTTGCATTTAGTTACTGAAAGAATATAAAGATGAAGATTGGAACATGGGCAATATAGTGTATACACTCACAAACCGGCGCTACCTTGAAAAGTGCATTGCCTATGCAGAGAGCCATGATCAGGTAAGTAAGTATGTATGTAAACCATTCTCTGTGCCTGTATTCGTTAACGGATCTAAAATAAGCATATCTCAATACAAATTTCTATAGTTCAATACAAGTAATGTAATGTGTTATATGTCTATTTTATGTGACTCTTACTTGAAAAACGTTTCAGGGACTTCCGTGGTGGCCCCGTAGTTAAAGAGTTTGCCTTCCGGTGCAGGAGATGCAGGTTCGATCCCTCGTCAGGGAGCTAAGATCCCATGCATCTCACAGCCAAAAAAACCCCAAACATAAAACAGAAGCAGGACTGTAACAAATTCAGTAAAGACTTTAAAAATGGTCTAAATCAAAAAACCTTTAAAAAAGAAAAACATTAAAAAAAATTACTTTGTAGATCCATAAATTTCCACTTCAAAATGCCGTACTACTTTTACCCTGCCAAACTGTGATTAAGTGACTGTGACTGACAGTTGCAAGCGCTATCTTGCAAGTTTTCCTTTGTTGTGACGAGAAGAATGTTGGTGCTCATCCAGGTTAATTTTAATTTCCTTTCCATTTTAGGTTTCCTTCTAAAGATTTTCTTTTATGCCTTTTCACTTGCTTTCATCATTTTCCCCCCTCAGTCAATAAATCTTTTGCTGATTGATCACCCTGACCTCTGTCCCTCTGTTTTAGTCCTTCGTCTATAATGTAGCCTGAGGTATTTTCCAAGGGCAAAGCTAATTTTGTCAACCCAGATCTTTTGGTTAAAGCTTCTCACACACAGCCTGTCATATCTTGCATGCCAACGTTTATTCTGTGTTCAATCCTCCAAGTGTTCTGTTCTTCAATACTGTAAAACCTTCACCCATTCATAAGTAGGTCAACCTTGTCCCAGTCTTATACTTTCCCCACACACCTGCAGATGCATACTTCACCTGGGAAGCTACTGTAAAGAACTAATGCTCTGACTCAGGTGTGTTTCCTGAAGCTTTCATCCAGGTGTATGGGGGAAAAGTGGTTTCCCAGTCCTTCATGTTCTTATCACATTTTAAGCAGAATATTTGTTTCCATTTGTATTTCCAGCCTTAGTACTATGACTTCTCCTAGTAGTCACTCAATAAACATAAATAAATGGAGAAGGTCATTTAGTTATTTAAAGCATGTGGATTGTCCCCATAAACAATATAAAATGAAGTCTTTATACTTCAAAAAGACAGTAAATCATTTGAAATTATTTGCAGTATATGAATTAAGAAAATTGAAGTTAAACAATAAGTTCCTGTGTTATTTCTGCAGAAATTGACAATTTAAGTTGGAAACTAGTTTTTCAGATGTCTCCTTTACTATTAAGAAAGTGTAAGTAGACCAGAGGTCAGCTATCAAGGCCCATGAGCCAAACTCTGCCTGCTGCTTGTTTTTATAAAGGTAATTGGAACACAGGCATACTTATTCAATTACCTATTGTCTATGGCTGCTTTTGAGTCTTAATGGCAGATTTAAGTAGTTGAGACTGAGAAAGTAGCCCACAATGCCTAAATTATGTACTGTTGGCCTTTACTCATTCATGAGGTAGACATATAAAGTTTTATATCTTCCTAATTGGGGCAGTACTTTCTTTTAAATTGGCTGTTGAGCAAATAAAATAAATACCTATGAAAAAACCAGAACCAAAATGTAACAAAATAAGAAATGAATAATATTAATTTAAGAATAAGTAAATCCCTTGTCAAGTATATTCAGTTCAGTTCAGTCTCTCAGTCATGTCCTACTCTTTGCAACCCCATGGATGGCAGTAGCCAGGCTTCCCCATCCATCACCAATTTCCGGAGCTTACTCAACTCATGTCCATGGAGTCGGTGATGTCATCCAACCATCTCATCCTCTGTCATCCCCTTCTCCTCCCACCTTCAGTCTTTCACAGCATCAGGGTCTTTTCCAGTGAGTCAGTTCTTCACATCAGGTGGCCAAAGTTTGGAGTTTCAGCTTCAGCATCAGTCCTTCAAATGAACACCCAGGACTGATTCTTTTAAGATTGACTGGTTGGATCTCCTTGCAGTCCAAGGGACTCTCATGAGTCTTCTCCAACAACACAGTTCAAAAGCATCAATTCTTCGGCGCTCAGCTTTCTTCCAACTATCCTTTCCATTCATGTCCAACTATCAGTTCCATTCATGACTATGGAAAAACCATACCTTTGACTAGATGATGGACCTTTGTTGGCAAAGTAATGTTTCTGCTTTTTAATATGCTGTCTAGGTTGGTCATAGCTTTTCTTCCAAGGAGCAAGTGTCTTTTAATTTCATGGCTGCAGTCACCATCTACAGTGATTTTGGAGACCCCAAAAATAAAGTCTCTTGGTATTTCCGTTGTTTTCCTATCTATTTGCCATGAAGTGATGGAACTGGATGCCATGATCTTAGTTTTCTGAAAGTTGAGTTTTAAACCAGCTTTTTCACTCTCCTCTTTCACTTTCATCAAGAGGCTGTTCAGTTCTTCTTCACTTTCTGCCATAAGGATGGTGTCATCTGCATATCTGAGGTTATTGATATTTCTCCTGGCAATCTTGATTCCAGCTTGTGCTTCATCCAGCCTGGCATTTTGCATGATGTACTCTGCATATAAGTTAAATAAGCAAGATGACAATATACAGCTTTAACGTACTCCTTTCCCAATTTGGAACCAGTCTGTTGTTCCATATCCAGTTCTAACTGTTGCTTCTTTGCCTGCATACTGATTATTCAGGAGGCAGGTCAGGTGATCTGGTATTCCCATCTCTTTAAAAATTTTCCACAGTTTTTTGTGCATCAGGTATATAACAATATGAAAATTAAAATACATTGAAAGCTTCTAGCAATTGTAGCACATTTGGGTTCCCAATTTATGTTTATTTTATATGAATGAATAAAAGAATAAGAAAATGAGTGAAATAAACAAATTGAAGATGAAACTGATAGATTAATTTCATGATTTTTCTCTCAAGATGTACCGAAACAGTATGGAAGACTTATTTCATGCTTTAAAGATCCACGTAATTCAACCTTGTATTAAAAATTGTCAGGAATATACAAAAAGATGTAAGTTACCTAATTCTTCCTAAAAACAAACATACACTGAATTTTAAACCTGATAAAAATTACAAATATGAACATATGAAAATAGTTTAGACTTTAAAATAGGTTTATAAAGAAAAATATTTTTCTAAAAGTGAAAATAATTGCATAGTAATAGGGTGAGGAGATTATGGTTTAATCTCTGTGTTTCTCTATATATTCTTCCTGTCAATAAATAATCCTTGGCATTAGTTAGCTATTTTTAACCATAAATCATTCCAATTAAGAGACCTTTTCTGCTGCTCAGGGTGTTTCCGAGTTACCTGCCCCATTTGTCAACTATTATATTTTCATATAAAACAAACTCGTTTTAGATTAGATTTCAAATATAATAAGAAAGTAAGTTCTACATTTGAAGAAAAAGTTGTCAGTTTGCTGCTGAAAGGGAAAAAGGTCCATTGTAATATATTTATGTACATGTTTTATGTACATAAATAAAAGTGCATATACATATAAATGATTTCTAAGAAACTTTTCTATTCTTTTAAAACAGTAAAGTCATGACATATAAGTCATTTTTAAAAACTGTTAAGATTCTAATAGTTTAATCTAAGATTATGGGATTGTATGAAATCATTTGTGTGAAACTTATGAAAATTGTCAAGCATTACAGAATTTAAGGAATCTGTCATTCAGTTTTAAAAAATCCATTGTTTAAATCCTTAAAAAAGGCCATTAGTATTTTCAACATTATAACCCATGTTATTCTAATTTCTAATGCTTAGTATTAGCAAATATTCAGGTAGCTTATCATGAGTTTTTCACCAAGCTATTTTATAAATAATAGAAACATAGATTCATGAGTTTTCTCATGTATTTCACCAGCTTACCTTCAGCAGAGATAGTGACTATTGGGAAATACATGGAATTAATACTAATTCACACACTTCTCCTGTACTGTTTTTGTGAAATCACGTGTTACTCTGGCATAAATGACAACTGCCTAGTACCTATTCTTTACATTTACATCAGTGACTTTTATTTTATTAGGCTCTCGTTGGGGATAAGACATTGGCGTTTTGGTTGATGGATGCTGAAATGTATACCAACATGAGTGTTCTGACCCCATTTACTCCCGTTATCGATCGTGGAATACAGCTTCATAAGATGATTCGACTCATTACTCACGCACTCGGTGGAGAGGGGTATCTCAATTTCATGGGTAAGTATGAAATGAACCTATATCCCAATCTGTGTTTAAAATGTTAACCAATATTATATATGACACAAGTTATGTAGGATATTGTGCTGTAGCTGTTCAGGTTTAAAATAGAATATCATAATTTTATTTCTGTATAGCACTGTCATGTGTAAACTGTAAAAATTAAATTAAGATTATTGTTATACTAATGTATGATGCAAAATTAGCCTAATGGCTGGTATCTTATTTAATATTGTTGTCAATAAGTGGGGTGAACTTTTTTTAAACATAGAATTGTCATTCTGAGTTTAATCATTCTGATTTATTTCATTATCATAGTGTTTGCACATTGAACATAGAAGGATATAATTGTCATGTCATAACAACATACTGAGCTAATATTATTGGTCTTCTTTGAGGTATTTGTATTATAAATGTGGAAACCAAGGCCCAAGGTATTGTGATGGGCAAAAAAGATACTTATTAAAAAAATAGGAAACATGACTATTCAAAAGTCATTGCTATCTGAAGGATCTTGAATTATAAAATATACAGTCAACTAGCACTGTTTTCTGTTCGATTTGGTTAACCAAAACCATCTGAGTTTTAGGAAATTTTACCAGTTTTTAGGGTAGAGAGAGCTGGAAAGACTGGGGAATGCATATGGGAACCTGACTTAATTTTCTATAATAAAAGGCTTAGAAAGTGAAAAGTGAAAGTCGCCCAGTTGTGTCTGACCTTTTGTGACACCATGGACTATACAGTCCAGGCCAGAATATTGGAGTGGGTAGCTGTTCCCTTCTCCAGAGGCTCTTCCCAACCAGGAATCACTTCAGATTAATTCATTTCTATCTGGAAATTTTTATTTAAAAAGTCTCTGATGGGACTTATAAAAGCCTCTATCATTTGCTATCTTGAGACTAGGAAGCTAAATCCATTAAAGCACATACCAGATTTTCCCTGCACAACCTGTACCTTTTGGTGCATCCCTCTCCTCTCCAGATCACCAAATCTGTTAATATTTCCAACCTGTCAGGCAGTGACCCTTGTGACCTTGAGATTGCACTTCATCTTCCAGGCACCAAGCTGGGCTTTCTGGGTGGACTTTGCAGGCATTGTATTCATAAGTAAAATCAGCCTCAGTTCCTTAAAGGCAGCTGGTCCTCCCAGAGACAGTGAACATCATTCACAAGTACAGCCTTTCCTAAAAGAGAAACAAAATCAATTATGACCTCTGAGTTCATGTTGTTGGTCCTGTCATTAATTCTTGAAGCCCACTGCATCCGAGAATTCTAGTAATCCAGACTTAGTTTATTGCTTTAATCTGGAAGTTGTGTAAGCATTGTCAGCTCAGAAGCCTGTACTGAAGAGTTGAGAGTGTCATAGTTTGTAGTTCCTGATAGAGTTTTTTTCCTGAGACTGTCCTTCGTTGAAGACAGTTCTAGCCCATAGTATGTAACATAGCATCTGAATAAAACAAAACTCTCTGCAGATAACAGAGACTTAATGTCCCTAGTTAATTGAATATTGATAACTTTCAGATAAAAAATGTCTGAAGAAAGTTCATAATGAGAACTATTTCTTGAGTCTTTGTATTAATATTTTTCTTGAAGGTAAAAATGGATCATGGACAGCTAAGATCTTAACAAATCTCCAATAATTTCATAACTTCTTTGAAATGTTTATATTAATATCATTTTAACTGTATATATTTAACCAAGGGCTCACTGAACTGCTTTTCTGTTTTGGAAACTCTTCCCATAGAACTTTCAATAGTAACCCAACTAAATAAACATAATTATCTATTAGTGTCTCTCTTATAACATCTGTAAAATGACCATATTTGTGGTATCAAATATAATTTTGAGATTATTCTTTGATATAGGACTCAAAGATATTTTGAAGTTTCTTCCTACATTTGTCCTTCATTTTTTTTTCATTTATTTTTATTACTTGGAGGCTAATTACTTTACAATATTGTAGTGGGTTTTGTCATACATTGACATGAATCAGCCATGGATTTACATGTGTTCCATCCCGATCCCCCCTCCCGCCTCCCTCCGCATCCCATCCCTCTGGGTCTTCCCAGTGCACCAGCCCTGAACACTTGTCTCATGCATACAACCTGGACTGGTGATCTGTTTCACCCTTGATAATATACTTGTTTCAATGCTGTTCTCTCAGAACATCCCACCCTAGCCTTCTCCCACAGAATCCAAAAGTCTGTTCTGTATATCTGTGTCTCTTTTTCTATTTTGCATATAGGGTTATCATTACCATCTTTTTAAATTCCATATATATGCATTAGTATACTGTATTGGTCTTTATCTTTCTGGCTTAGTTCACTCTGTATAATGGGCTCCAGTTTCATCCATCTCATTAGAACTGATTCAAATGAATTCTTTTTAATGGTTGAGTAATATTCCATTGTGTATATGTACCATAGCTTCCTTATCCATTCATCTGCCGATGGGCATCTAGGTTGCTTCCATGTCCTGGCAATTATAAACAGTGTCCTTCAAATGGCTTATACTATTTAACTCCAACAGAATGGTTTTTAAAAATTCCTTCTGACTCAATATCTTATCTAAATCTAGCATTTCTCTACTAACTTTGAAATCAGTAATCTCTAAAATCTTTATGATTTCTGACTATTGATGTTTTATGAAATTTAGTATTTTCCCATGAGCTCTCATGACTTTATATATTGTTTTTTCCACTTTCTGATCGTGGCACTCTCCTGCCTCATGGCTTTAATGCCTGCAGTGTCCTCCGGCTGACCCGTAGGCCTTGCATGAATGGTCTCCCATGGCTCTCCCCACTGAGGCCCTGCTCCAGCCAAGTAGACTTTCTTTCATTCATTGAATGCACCAACCTCCTTCCACTCTGAATTCTGTATATTTTAGTGTTCTCCCCTCTTGGACTCATCCTACTCAAACACCCCCTGCTATACCTGACAAAATCCTTCATCTGCAAATCTTATTTCCTTAGGAAAGCCTTTTTCTAAATCCTCAGACTTCACTCGTTTTACCTATTATACATCTTTATATACCCTATTGCTTACCTTTTTTGGCACATAAAAAATTATATTTAAAACATTATTAAATATGTGACTGCCTTGGTAAATTTAAAGTGAAATGAAAATCGGGGTCTTATTCACTTATGACTAGTAGCAATTAGCATAGGCTCTAGTACATCACAAGGCTTTCATGTTTTTCTGAAAAAATATTTTGTATATTTATATATATGTATATGTGTATATATAATTACCTTGTAATATTTTTAGCAGTGGTTCATTAGTTGCAATCACCACTTGTAGTTTTAAGCAAAGTTATTTTTTTCAAGTGGCATGGAAGAAATAAATTTTTTAAATGATCAGTTAAAGAAATTTAAGACCAAAGAGCAGCAATCTTGTTGTTTACTCATGTTTTAGTCATTCTAAAACTTGTTAGTTTTCTAGAATTTTATTTTTATTTCTCTCTAGTAGAGAGAGGATGAGTTAAAAGAAGAAAGCAACAACACATTTTTGTATTTTTTCATTTAAATATGCTTACCTAAATTTGTCAGGCATTTAGATATGTGTTCTGCTTATCAAAAATCATTAAGATCAATGTAAACTTTTCACAATGATACCAGTTTGGTGGATTTACTTTATTTTGTTTGTTCTTATCTTATATACTCCTAAGTTTGTGTTTCAAAAAATTCTTTCACTATGATAATGGCATTTGCAGCAACATGGATGGTCCTAGAGATTACCATACTGAGCGAAGTAAGTCAATATAGAGAAACACAAATATTATCTATGTCTTATTTGTGGATTCTAAAAAAACCAGTACAAATGAACTGATTCACAAAGCAGAAGTAGAGTCATAGATGTAAAATACAAACTAAGAATGGGGAACAAATTGGGAGATTGATATCGACATATACTCGCTACTATATATAAAACACAAAACTGGTAAGAATCTACTGAATAGCACAGGAAACTCTACTTGATATTCTGTATTGGCCTATGTGGGTAAAGAATCTAAAAAAGAGTGAACATATGTGTAACTGATTCACTTTGCTGTATAGCTGAAACTAACATAATGCTGTAAATCAAATAGATGCCAGTAAAAATTAATTGAAAAATTTTTAAAGCAGAACATTTATTCTTTCTCTCTCTCTTAAATACAATAAATGTAAAGTTGTATTGCTGAGTCACTCAGTCGTGTCCAACTCTTTGTGACCCTGTGGCCTGCAGCACACCAGGCTTCCCTGTCCTTCACCATCTCCAGAACTTACTTAGACTAATGTCTATTGAGTCAATGATACCAACCAATTGTCTTGTCCTCTGTCATCTCCTTCTGTTTGCTAAAAAAGAAAGAAAGAAAGGAAGAAATCCACTCTGGTTGAAGTAGGGGAATACTTGCTTTTTTTTTTTTGGCTTACTAGGTTATTTTAATTATAAATAGATAGGTTTATATTTCCTGTTATTCCATCATATCATCATATGAAGGAATCAGGTATAAAATGGGACCGGAAATAGCTGAATTATTTGCATGTTTTTACATCCTAAGAGTTGTAATTATAAATATTAATAAAAGTAAATTTATATAGACACAGCATGCTATGTTGTCTAAGACATTTTCTATGCATCATCTAAATTAATCTTCATAAAAGTTTTCTTTCTCTTTTTTTTTTAATACAGTCTTAGTTGCAAAGAAATGTGAGGTTAAGATTAGGGGAGTACTCAGATATCTAGGTAGATGTCCCAAGCCCCATTTTACTAAAGCTGCAACTCGGACAGGAAAAGTAACACGCCTAACATTGTGCAACTAGAAAATGAGAGCGGCTGATGGTCTTTCTCTTTTATTTCCTATTTGAGAAAATTGGCAACAAAATTATTATTAGATCAGTATATAGACTAGCTACCAAAATGCAGTTAATGAATGTGTTTTTGGGAAAAGGTAGAACATTGTGATTAAGCAAATGATCTGGATGGGAACCCAGGCTTAGCTGTGTGAGCTGAGTAAGGGGCA